GTGGCACAGCTGGAGTAACGTGTCACAGCAGGAGTAACGTGTCACAGCAGGAGTAACGTGCCACAGCAGGAGTAACGTGGCACAGCGGGAGTAACGTGGCACAGCTGGAGTAACGTGTCACAGCAAGAGTAACGTGGCACAGCAGGAGTAACGTGGCACAGCAGGAGTAACGTGGCACAGCAGGAGTAACGTGGCACAGCAGGAGTAACGTGGCACAGCAGGAGTAACGTGGCACAGCAGGAGTAACGTGCCACAGCAGGAGTAACGTGGCACAGCAGGAGTAACGTGGCACAGCAGGAGTAACGTGGCACAGCAGGAGTAACGTGCCACAGCAGGAGTAACGTGGCACAGCAGGAGTAACGTGGCACAGCAGGAGTAACGTGGCACAGCAGGAGTAACGTGCCACAGCAGGAATAACGTGCCACAGCAGGAGTAAAGTGGCACAGCTGGAGTAACGTGTCACTTCCTTTTCATACATGTCATTTGGACTGCGTTTCAGCCACTTTGTTATGACTTACTCTTGGCATAAGTTAATAGTTCTATGAAATTTGTATAAATATGATGGACTATACAAGTGACAAAGTAAAATACGACATAATTCGCAATTTAAAAATTAGTTATTTTGGGTATAGTTGCTGATAAAGGGAAATTGCAGCAATAGTTTGCAACAACGCTGATTCAAGAAATATGCAGACGATGAAGACTAAACTAATCTTTAGTCTTCATTCTTTAGCACTTGATAAACAAAATTGAAGTCAGAGGATAAAAAAAATGAAAGGTAGCAAATATTTCTAGAAAAGTGAAGCAAAAGAAAAAAAAGAGATGGGGAAGAGAACGATGAGGTGGACAAAGAGGATGAGTAGGAGCAGAAACAAGGTAAGTACACCAGAAAGAATATGATGAAGCGAAGGATGAAGAGGGATGGGAAGTATGAATAGCAACGGGAAGAGGATGAGCAGGAAGAGAGGGATGAGGAGGAGGAGGAGGAGCAGGAAGAGGGGGAGGATGAGAAGGAGGAGTTTGCGAAGGTGAGAAAAAGTAAAAGAAAGAGAAAAATAAGGTGATCGCCTTGATTAATCGTCAGAGCACCATTGAACATAGGAACAAAGGCCGAGTCGTATTTCTGGTGGTGTGTGTGTCGGTGGAGTCCACGGGGGAATGATACGTGCCAGGCGCCCCTGGAGGTGTGCTGACGGGCCCACGGGGGAATGATGCGTACTAGGCGCCCGTAGAGGTGTGTTGACGTGCCCACGAGGGAATGATAAGCACAAGGCTCCTTCGGAGATGATGTAATCCATGATGGACGCTGATCCTATCCTCTCGCATTGACAAAATATCTATATTTAGCTTCCAACTTTGCCTCCATGGGCTTTCTTTAAGATTCATAGCTCATAACCCTTGTGGAGTGAGGTGGAATCTGTTCGTGTCAGTTATACTTTATGGTTTATAATTCCTTCCGTTCAATGTGATGAACAAACTTGTTTCTACAAAATATCAATGAAAATTAGGAGCGTCTCGTACACTGCAAATATGGTTATTAACTTCTTCAATCAAAGCCTAAGGGCAGAGGAAGACATCTGCTTGCATCGTTTTCACGTTCAGTCTCTCGCTTAATCACAGCGTGCCGAAACATGGATCTGAACCTCTGGCACAAATTTAAGATCACCTTTCCCAGTTATTGTTTAAGTGCACTAACATACATCCAAGCTTCCTCGAATTCGTATTTCGTTACCAGTTACGAGAACTCAGTGGTAACGTAATTACTGTCATCGGTCACAAGAGGCGATGACCATTAGTTTAATCCAGTTAAGTGACTTTTCTTGACAAAGGAGAATAACACTACACAATGTATAATTTCTAAAATGGTTTATTTTGGTTACATGGGACCGGTGCCATACAACCTGTCCTTCTACTAACGATTTTGTTGCTCCGTCTAAAACGTTTCGGGTTAATGTATATTTACACAACAAATTTAGTTTTTCTGTTCTCTTTTCCCCTTTTCCCGTCCCTCCCCCTCCAGTCAGCCACTCACGTTGGACGGTCTAGCAAGTCTCGCTTCATGCAGGTAGGCCTTCAACCCCGAACGACCAAGTGATTGGGCACCATTCCTTTCCCCCGTCCCATCCCCAATTATTATCCTGGCCCCTTCCAAATGCTATATAGGCGTAAGGGCTTTGGTGATTTCTCCTGATAGTTCCCTTTCCCTCCCCCAACCTCCCCTTTAGCACGTTTACGTTACTGCCGACTAACTTCCATGTAGCTATTTACTACCAGGGTGAACAGGCTCTTCGGGTGTAAGGTAACGTGGCCAAACGTCTACTCCTGCCTGAGAATCGACCCAAGCACCAATCGGTTCGTGAACCGACTGAGCCACCATTGCGGATACAGACAGATGAGCCGACATGTGTGACGGTGAAAACAAAGATGAATAGAAGAGAAAATGGTAAATGAAGAAAATATTTGTTTGACATTGCCTCTGTATAATGTTAATATAGTTTTAATGTTAAACTAAAACAAATATTGTTTTGACGAAGGAAAATTTTCACATAAAAAGGTAGAGGAAGAAGTATGATGAATATGAAAGAAAGAGAGAGAGAGAGAGAGAGAGAGAGAGAGAGAGAGAGAGAGAGAGAGAGAGAGAGAGAGAGAGAGAGAGAGAGAGAGAGAGAGAGAGAGAGAGAGAGAGAGACAGCGAGAAAGAGAGAGAGAGAGAGAGCGAGAGAGAGAGAGAGAGAGAGAGAGAGAGAGAGAGAGAGAGAGAGAGAGAGAGAGAGAGAGAGAGAGAGAGAGAGAGAGAGAGACAGCTCTACAAAACTAATTTCATGAGATCCACAGTAAACTAACCAATAAAACAATAATCAATTTCATAAATGCTGAAATAAAAGTATTAAAGAGAACCGAGACGTTCAACACACTGGAATGCTGAAAATTAAGTCCCCTCCCTTCCCCCCCTGATTGATTATTTCTCTTCCCCACAATGCATGGTCACTTTTCTTTAAGCATCGCTTCTGGCATGTGAGAAGAGCCAACGTGACAATGCCGGACTCCGCCGATTCGAGGTGACGTGTATTTCAGTCAGCATCGGTCAGCTGACACATTATTGCTGTCAGCAGTGGTTAGCTGGCATGCATTATTAGTGTCAGCAGCGGTTAGCTGACTTACATTATTGCTGTCAGCAGCGGTTAGCTGGCATACATTATTAGTGTCAGCAGCGGTTAGCTGACTTACATTATTGCTGTCAGCAGCGGTTAGCTGGCATACATTATTAGTGTCCACAGCGGTTAGCTGACTTACATTATTGCTGTCAGCAGCGGTTAGCTGACATACATCATTGCTGTCAGTAGCGGTTAGCTGACATACATCATTGCTGTCAGTAGCGGTTAGTAGAAACATTATTGCTGTCAGCAGCGGTCAACACTACCACCAGGAGTGCGGTGGTTGTATCTAATTCATCCCATCCTGTAGTCATGATCTTGAAACATACAGTGCTTTCAAAATCAGTATGATGTCATATATAAATTAATTATTTTGTATGTTAGAATTATATGTTTTTTTTACCTAGGTTAAGTTAGGTTTGCTGTTGAGGATTTATTATAATTATCTGTATTTTTAGTACGTGAGTGAAGCATTATTTTTTTATTGATATATTCAGGAGTTCTTACATTTTAGTAAAGCCACAAGCACGCATGGCGTTTCGGGTATTTTATTAATCTTAATTTTCCCTGGAGTACAACTCGCTCAATCGTTTAACAACCAGGTATCCATTCACTGCTGGGTGAACAGAGGCGTACAGGTAAGGATTGGCGCCCATTCAATCCTCCCCGGCCAGGATACGAACCAAGGCCAAATCGCTTGCGAAGCGAGAGGTGAAGTCTCCTTTGGCATCCCCAATTGAGTATGATTCGAAAATAGAAAGCGATCGAGGCACTGTTCCAGAAAAATTAAAACGTTGTCAAGAGATCGTCACATGTGAACAAGGAATTTGGCGACTGGATTAATATTCAGTTTGCTGTGACGAGAACAGGCTTAATTGCTTGTTAATCCAGCTGTCAAATCCACTGTTTATGAATGAAAAACATTTAACACATAACTGATGAAGTTCGATTTTTTTTTTTTGAAGAGCTTTACTCACGTTACCTGTTCGAATTTCCCTTCTAAATGACTCACCCACGTACTGTAAATTGAAATAATTTACAAAGAAAACCTAGACACCTAACCCAAATAAGCCAAACTATACACAAAACTATATATATATATATATATATATATATATATATATATATATATATATATATATATATATATATATATATATATATGAAATGTGAAATTTGAATACACTTCACGCGAAGATTGGTGAATACGTCTTTGGGGTTGGCCGTGGCTTGGACGAGGCTAGCCTGAGAATGGGTTGGACGATCACCACCTATTTTAGGAGAAAACCTATTTCATAGACCATGGGTTCTAGGGGGTACCCCAGGGCTCGTCGGTTTGTGCGAGTTCTCCCCTAAATTCACTTAACTGAGTGAGACTTCATCCCACTTTGGTCCCAGCTACCAAATATCAGTTGATACGTGGGTCCCATGTACAAATTCCAGAACCTATTCTTCAATCCACCATGTATTTTTGAAGCTACAAATGAAGTATGTTTACTCACCTAATTGTTTGTGTACTCACTTAATTGGGTGTGTACTCACCTAATTGTGTGTGTGTATTCATCTAAATATGTGTGTATGTGTGTAATCTGATGCATATTTATGGGGGGGGGGGAGTACGGAAGAGTTTGTGTGCCAGAGACTCGAAGAGAAGCAAAAGAAGTGGAGGACATAACAGAGTAAGTAATTATCAAAAGAAGGCACCAAACCGGGAAGGCAATGTAGCACCAAGAATATAAGAAAGAGGATGGAAGGAAATAAAAAGAGAATGAGAGAGAACATACACTGTATACGAACTCTCAGCGAGTGTATGCGTGTGCAGAAGCGCGCGCGCGAGCATAAACTTCAATGGCGTGTATCTAGATACCCCGCACAGTGATCATTATATTTTTTTGCATGTGTCTGCGTTGCATGTGTGTCCGGGTTGCATGTGTCCGCGTTGCATGTGTCCGCGTTGCATGTGTCCGCGTTGCATGTGTCCGCGTTGCATGTGCCCGCGTTGCATGTGTCCGCGTTGCATGTGCCCGCGTTGCATGTGTCCGCGTTGCATGTGTCCGCGTTGCATGTGTCCGCGTTGCATGTGCCCGCGTTGCATGTGTCCGCGTTGCATGTGCCCGCGTTGCATGTGTCCGCGTTGCATGTGCCCGCGTTGCATGTGTCAGCGTTGTATGTGCCCGCGTTGCATGTGCCCGCGTTGCATGTGCCCGCGTTGCATGTGTCCGCGTTGCATGTGCCCGCGTTGCATGTGTGTCCGCGTTGCATGTGTGTCCGCGTTGCATGTGCCCGCGTTGCATGTGTCCGCGTTGCATGTGTGTCCGCGTTGCATGTGCCCGCGTTGCATGTATCCATTGGTTGAGCTCTATATTACCCCCATTTTCACACGACCGTCACACAGCATTATGAAACTCTCTTATTTACCAGAGCGAAGTTTTAATTCCTACGCGGTTTTATGGTACAAAAAATTTATAATTAATCTTCATTACGGCTGAGTATATATAATTTCACATAATATATGACCCTGAAATACACAGAAAGAAAAACTATACATCTAAAATGAGCCCTGCCAACTATAACGCAATTCTATGCAGTTTATATCCCTCCTCATATTAACATTAGGATTTGAATTGTGCAAGCATTGTTATGAATAATATAAGTAAGCTTACAGATATTCCCATCAGTATAGTATTTGTCTTCCTTAAATACGCAATGTTCCCCTCCTTTACTGACGATTAATTCCTCTGTTCGTATTGCCTCTGACAACTTTCCACCCTCTTCCTTGTCCATTTATCTCTCCCTTGGCCAGCTGGCAACTCTCTCTCTCTCTCTCTCTCTCTCTCTCTCTCTCTCTCTCTACATTTATATACATATTTTTTCCTCTATTTGGTAAATTATGGTAGCAGTTTTTTTATTATTATTATTTATTCTACGTCACGATTTATTTATGTTACGTTTGATTTGTTCGCCTCAATATTATTTATTACCCCTAGATACGTCTCTCACACTTGTATCATTCCAGTTTCCCTCTCTCACTCCCACTTCTACCTACCCTTCATTCTCAGTCTCATCTTGTGTCCAACGAACCAGTATTCTCAATATTGTCTTTCTGCCGTCTTACGGAATGAGAATTCCGGGTATGAGGTTCCCTCGTCACACAATGAAACTTTTTTTTACAAAAAATTATTTCTAATCTTCGTCCTCACTTGGTTGTCTGACCTTGGATACCAACCACTTCTCTCTACATATGTAACTGAAAGAAACCCTAAAATATCCCCCCAAAAATACCCATAAAATACTAGAATTAAACCCAGTCCCATATAATGATACTAATTAGCAAACCTCTTTATTACCCTGCTTCCTTTACCACCCTTACCTTAGTACTTTCCCTTTACCCAACTTTTCTCCGTGCGTGTCCTTCAATAAATGCGGGTTAATGACACTAATATTAACGTTAGAGGTGGAGAGTGAAAAGCCTGGTGCTTATGTGGCAATTGCTGGACCCTCAATTGAGAATGTCACGAAATCGTGACATTCATGCTCAGGCAGACATTACGTGGAGTATCTTATTAAGTCTTCACACACACACACACACACACACACACACACACACACACACACACACACACACACACACACACACACACACACACACACACTCATACACACACACACACACACTGAAACACAAGCAAACACGCTCAAACACACACACACACGTGTTCGGTTCTAGGCCATGACATACAAATTGGCAGGTTCTTTCAATTTATGTCTCTCTTAACCTAGAAGTGAATAGCTACCAGGGGTATAATCATCTATTGCGGCCTGAATCCTAGGAACAAATGTGTGTGTGTGTGGGTGGGTGGGTACCCATGCGGCTGACCCACTTTGACATGTATGTTAATATGTACCTTACTGTATAACAATCAAAGGTATTGCTCTACATACATGTGGCTATCATTCAATAGGGTTTCGTACATAGTTTTTCATAGGTTTATTAAACTAGATTGCTTTGGTTCGGTTGGTAATTAAAGCTTTATCTCCAGGTATGCTTGTTCATCTCAAGCTCTTGGTGTAAACCTAGATCAATACCAAATGACGTATTTTAACCTAAAAATACACTAAGGCTAACTATTCATGAACATATTGTTCATAATAATATAAATTTGTTTTCAGAGTGTTTATTGCACCTTATTCAAAACATTCTCGCATCTGAACGATGTATTTTATACTGTACGACGTCACCATTTGTTACTCTCGTGCACGCTGCGGCTGTCCCAAAAGGCACATTCGTAAAAAAATAAATCCCGTACTATGTAATTAAAAACGATTTTGTCTCATGTAAAACCTAATATTAATAATAAACCCGTAGGCGTACGGCTTTATCCTTAACTGTACGCTTCTGCTCACCCAGCAGTGAATGGGTTCCTGGTTGTTAAACGATTGAATATTGGGATCAAGTACTTGCCCGAAACGCTATGCGTGCTAATAGCATCACAATAATGTAAGAACTCTTGTAAATAATTAAATAAAATAAATATATGTATGTATTAAAGGTTTGGTAATAGCTAGTCCTGGGTAAGGTTAGATTAGATTTTGGTTTTATTGACAAGGGTACATATGCCGATAGTTGCCTATGTTTATGCCAACTGACACGATGGACCGTTTCGTACGGTGTAATAAAGTAACTTTCATACATTTATATTAAATCAATTAAATACTGGGAGATTTTGCGTATGATAAGTCAAGAAAATGACAGGTAAGGTGTTTTGGTTAAGTTTGATTAAGGAAATGTTAACAGTACAGGCCGAAATTGAATGAAGCACGTCTCGAGTCATAGTTTCGAAAGGAGTCAGATTCACAAAAGTTCAAACACGGACTATTCTCGACTGGAATATTACTTATTTTGCACATAAACATTCTGAACCCGCTGGACAGGGTTCGGTTATGAAGACGGGCTGCAAGCGTGCCCAGCACTGTTCGAACGTAATCAGATCTGCAAATTGTTTTCCATTATTGGGAATTTTTTGCATGTATATAAAGATCTATAATATCATTTTTCCGAACATTTTATATCATTATACACTTACATGCAGAGGTCGTGAACACGTCAGCCAGCGGAGCACATCTTGACCGTTACGTAATAATATAAGCCACAACACCACTTATTTCGAGCGTCCCTCACACGATAACCACCGCGACTAACTGCTCCTCCTGTCACTCGCCAGGGTCGCCACTACAGTTCATTTTGTAAATAAACTGCTCAGTGTCTTGTTTAGTCTCTCACTTCTCTGTGTCTTGTTTAGTCTCTCACTTCTCTGTGTCTTGTTTATGCTCTAACTACTCTTATATCCTCCATATTATGCTCTCTTTCACTACTCTTCTGTGTATGTTTTGCTTTGTCGCTTAACATTACTCAGGCCTCGGTACGACCAAATGGCTGTGTGCTCCTATAGGTCACCGACACGTGTAGGATGACACTTTTTCTCTCTATCTAGTTGCAAGATTATTTTCCCAGTGCTATTTTTAGTTTGTCTTTCGTGCTGGGTTAGGGCACTGCAGTCATCAACTACCGACATTGTTCAAACATAACTAGGAATTAACTATCAGTAGGTAATGAGAGTAATGTTTGTGTTGATGGGGGATGGAGGATGAGGGTTTGCCGTACCGTATCCAAAGGCCAGTTGCCTAAGTGACCACAGAGTATTTTGTTATTATCCTATAAATACTCACACCGAATAGGTAAAAAGACAAAATACAGCACTTAAAATGGTAGGTTTGAACTGAACTATTGGTAACATAAAACAAGCAATGTTAGATAAAGTTAATACAAGAAATAGATTAAACTTTCAAGAGAGGCGCATGAAGCCCTTAGATCTCTAAGGAACAGCAGTGGTATTTTAATCAAGCAGACAACGGTGGAACAGTGGCGGTATGGAAGACTGAAAACTATAAAAAAAAGAAATGTTCAGGCAACTCGAGGATGAGACAACCTATAAAAAAATACAGAACCCACAGACAGCCCTAAAGAATGTCCTAACTCGTAGTAAAAACTAATTATTAAACTATATAAAAATAAAGATAATAGATCTGGTGGTAGTGGAGATTTACACAAAGCAGAAGCAATGAACAAACTTATAGCCTTTCTCTACAATCTACCTAAGGTTCTCAAAGAAAACTTCCTTTAACTAACACTTGGCAGGGTTGACCAATTCCTAATGTTTGCCAGGTCCTGACAAAGCGTGTTGACTGGGTCTGTACAGCCCTCCTCCTTCAACTCCTGCCGGAGCGTTTGAAGGACATTACAGATTTCTTAAGGCTACACACAATCACCGGCCCCCATACAACAAGGAGCCTGCCTTTTCTCCCTAGATGTTGTCTCCCTTTGCCCAAGTAGAGAAGCATCCAGGATAGCGGCAGAATTTTTTGACGTTAACAAACATGGAATCAGGCCGAACCTTAGACAGGCAGCTGTATTTAGGCCACCAGTGAGAGAACTTCTTAAAGAAGCTCTCCTCCATGTAATAAGGGGCACTTTACTGACGTTCGACAATAGAACATTCAGAGAAATAAAGGGTGCAACATTAGGGACATCAAGTAATGTGGCAATTGCAAAAATATTTGTGCACACAGAAATTGAATCAGCTCGAATACAGCGGTCACAGGGTCTGATAACATACCTGCGCTATATAGGTGACACTTTTGGGAATAATGGAGGGCGGAAGGCAAGAGCTTGAACATTTCTTTAATTGGACAAATTCGGTCCATACACATAAGGTACGGTTCATACGGTTTTCCGTAGAAAGGAGTGACTTAATCATTTCGTTTCAAGACACAATAGGACATTTTTGGAAACAATGATAGAGGACTTCACACGACAGAAGATTACAAGCCGACGAATCATCACTCTTACTTGCTCTATTCTACCAGCCATTCCCTATCACTCAAAAAATGTTTACTCAAAACATTTTGAGTAGAAATTTACTGAACCAGCCATCCAGCCACCAATCTTTATCACCAAGATGGCTGTCATCCGCCCCTGCAACAGCTGTGTGACTATCAAGACTCCTATCCCACCTGCATTTTAGACCACCTGCGTCTCTCACAAGTCATCATTACCCGCTTGCGTCACTTCTTCACCCACTTGCCTCTCTTCTTCCCACTTGTATCTCCCCTTCAATCACGTTTTCAATTTGGCTGATTATTTGTAAAGAAAAATGTAACTGTTGACTATTTGGTCCATGTTTTGCACATATACACAGCTGACG